CTTACAATTTACAACCATCTCATCAATGCCTGGAGAATATATATCAATGCTAAAGAACAAACATAATCTTAGCTAATTTTGATTCCAACTTTTATATATTGCTCAGATATGTATACTTCATCAAAGTGTAGTATTGGAAGAGCTGGAATCTTTCCATAATTAGTTAAGAAAGATGTCCCAAAGAATGTCTACTTGCTATTTTTGGTATAATTATTAATTAAATGAAGTTCATTTCACCACATTAGCATAAACATTTGGCCCAAACAGTAGCCAGTAAAAACAACGTGTTCTAAACAAGTATACTTGTTATTGTATGTTCATTGTATTCAATAACTTTGGCTCGAGCCATGTATGTATGTGTAAAAAATTCCTCTAAGTTCATACAAATAATAGATTTGAACACAAATCAAATGGTCCACGGTGAAATCCTAAACTCGAATCCATAATATTCAAATCATGAATTTGCCTCACCTGTTTGGTTTTGTAAAGACTAAAATAACCTCGGTTGGTGCCTTATAGCACAAGCTTTTCTTTTATCTGTTAGGGATATAGTAGATATGCCCTAGATCCAATATCATATTTGATGATTTGAACATATTTTTGTGAACATCATTTGATATAAAATATATATGGCATTTGATATTCTTTTATCATTGTTATTAATTGCTTGATTAATTTGATAAGGTCCTTGATTAAATTTTGAGATTTGTCATCGTGATAGAGATCATGATAATGAGAGCAAAGTCTCTTACAATTTAATCTAAATTTGTTCTTGATCGTAGGATTATTAATTTGGACATTAGTAATCCGGTTAGATCAATATTTATGTGACCGTCTTTATGGGATAAAGATTAGTTGATCTCATTAACTAAATCACATAGATAGATGATGCATATAGAGATATGATCATTGAACCGACTCATTGGATAATTCCTAATGGTTAGAATTACCATAAACTGTCAATAGGATATTCTCTTGAAGAATGTGATGTAAGAATTTCCTTTGACCTGAGATCATCATAGTAATTGACAAGTTATTTATTGTGCTTTGATACCAGACACCTATGGCCCTAGGGCGATAGTTGAAAGGATATTGGGTATGATTAAATACTTGTAGAATTAGTGATTGATCAAGATGGAATCTGTCAACTCTTGGTAATGAGTTTAAGCTCCATGTCGTCATGAATTATAAACGACCAAACTAAGACCTTGGCCAGGGCAATTGAATGAAAGAAGAAATGAGTTTCTTAGGTCATTCAATGGTCGATTATATTTGACATGAACACATAGTTGGTCGCCTATTAGGATTTGACAGTTGAACCATATCCTAGGGTGATCCAGAGCTATAAGGACAGAAGGAATTACTACATTAATTCTTCTATTGGTTCTTGAGAGTAAATTGTATACTTCATGCTATCCGGTCGTTAAGGAGTGTTGCTAGACGCCACCCTTGATTAGTATATTAATGTGATTAACTTACTACCGGCTTAGTATTGAACCTATGGGGTCGCACACTAACGAGTGTTCTGATCTTTGCTAGAGGATTAATTATTTTATTATTTGGTAATTAAATTAAGGAATTTAATTAGTCAAATGCATTTAGTTATTAGTCCAAATGAAATATTATTATATTCTTTGCTAGCACAAAGGATATAATTAATATTGTGAACAAATTGAAGTTTTCTATTTGGAATAGAAAATTAAATTATATCTCTTAATTGAAATATATATGTGATATATATTAAGTACTCGTAGTTAATACTAATATATATAAAGGTTGTATATTTAATATTAATTTATTCTTACCAATTTGGAATTGGAATTGTGAAGTGCTTAACTGACGTATACGTTAAATCCAATGTTGAATTGGATTTGGCGTGAATCGGGACGTCGGCAGCTCAAATCCAATTTGAAATTGGATTAATATAATATTTTAATAAGAAAATATTTCATGGACTTGCAAAATAAGTCACGGCCTTTTAAGTTTTTTTTTTTTTAACCTATTGGAAAAAGGATTACTTGAGGTGATATATAAATATCACCATATACGTGAGAAAAAAGGCCACAAAATAAGAGATATATTCCTGAATTTTCTTGTCGCATTATTTGTTGGAGTTTTGAGAAAACTTCAGCGCAAGTTTTACATTGAATTTGTTCGCGGGTTTCATTGATCAAAGAGTTGATAGCAAGGATCAGTCTCGGTGTGAATACGCATAGAGTCTTCGCACTATCGAAGAAATTTTGAAACGAGACTTTCTTCACCAGGTACGTCTTAGATCCGATCTATTGACATGTAAATAAATTTTAAACACGAAAAGATCTTCCTAGGATTGGTATTGTCTTCCGCTGCGTGTTACGAACACCTATACGCAATCCTTCATTATCTTCCATTTCTTCTTTTGTTGTCACCCAGGGTGAGGGGGTGGGGTTGGGCTGCCATCTTGTACTACATAAAGGTGGTTTTAATTTGATGCAAAGTAACCTAGTTAGGACTAGGTATTTTATTCCAAAGTGTTGGCTATACTTTTGGAATCACGAAAGATGGAATTTCTTTTTCTTTTAGATTTCTCCCTTTCTACTTTACTGAAATATCTATATTACATCATGCTTTCTATTAGTATTCATTATTTACTGAACTGCCAATTGACCTATGTACCGATCAACTAAGTATGGTACAAATAATTTACAACACTTGGTACGTAGGCAAATGCTGATTCAGGATTTTAAAATTGATGAAATTCAACTTTTAAAATTTTTAACAGTGATTATTATACTTTTGGAATAATGATCAGAATCGAAGTTTTGTAATTTTTTTTAATTTATATCGTATCAAAAATACTGAATCTCATTGAACCCAAAAAACAAAGGCAATATCCGCCTCTACCTATGGCCAGTGGGAAAGAAAAACGTGTATTATCGAACAAGGAGCTTTTAGACGATGTTAAGGTGGATAAGTAATTTGATACCCTTATTTATGGGGACCGATAATTCAAAGAATAATAACTTATGTTAGTCTTATTTAAGGATAAGGTTTATGTTTTATGCTTAGATATTATTTTGTTTCCTATGACAGTGTTATATCATGTTCGTCGGACGACGAAACATCTAACTAAATAACTAATACCAATTGTGTTGCTTTCACATGCAGGGACAAAGTGAAAAAACGGTACAGTTTTTTGTATGGGGTAAAATATGCTATGTTAAGTGATTGCATAAGAGAGTGACACGTGGAGTCGAAGGCAGAGGATAGCTAAAACCGAAGACAACTATTCCATCTGTTACCAGAAAGAATTGTGCTTATAAAGATGAAATAAATACCTACCACCTGTAGAATTTAATGAAGAATATTCTATAACATTTAGTACACTGCCCGTTATAGAAAATTTGTCATTCATGTCTGCCGTTACACATTCTTCAATGGTCCTCATAATTGATATTAAAGAAGGGCAGGATCCTAGGACCTTGTTCCCTAGGTGCAGCTATAAATAATGAGCTCTATTATCATTGTAAAGGACACGAATATTCTAGCAAACGTATGCTATAATCTGTTCAAAGCTTTATACAATTTTATTTTTTTGCTTTTTGATTCCATCGTTGTTGTATCCGGAAGCCCTGCTCCCGGAACTACTTTTTCTGCTGTTTTATTTTCATCTCAAGGCTAAGTATTGCATATTATTTCAATTCTTCTATTATTTCAGGATCGAATTAATTCACTTGTCTAGAAACCACATATAAATTCAACTGTACCGTTTTACGGCTAAACAGTTTGGCACCCACTGTGGGGCCTAGATAGTCGTGTAATTAAGTTGGTCCTTGCCTTCTTTTACTAACGTATTTTGATTACTTTTTCTTAGCAAAATATCACAGAAAATGACAGATAATGGTGTTAACAACACACACAATCTTGAGGCTCAAGGAGACCAGCCCCGCGACATGTTCGGGGGGTGACTCCTGATGATGCTGAAGAGGAGCATGTTGTTGAAGCGGCAAGGGTCCTGCAGGAGCAACAAGAGGTCATTCTAGGCCATCTCACATGGCAGGATAAGGTTATGACAGAACTAAAGCAGGTGTTGTCGGGTGCTTCCAATAACGCGAACGGACGAGGTCTTGTTCCTCCCGGTGCTCCTGCGAATCAAACAACACAGAGGATCGACAACAATACCCCGAGGGGTGAGGTTGGCTTCTATGGGGCCAGGGGAGCAGATCCGGTCACAACAACGAGAGCGATCCCTTCAAAAGCGAACTCTTACAGTTTACGAGGGAAGTAAATTGCCCGCATGGACCAAATCCCGGGTGCACCACCGATGCTTAAAGGGCCGGACTCAAAGAAGTATACTCAGTTGTCGTACAAACCAAGCATGGCACCAGAATTGATCCCGAAGTGGTTTAAAATGCCCGACGTGCCGAAATATGATGGGACTTTGGACCTTCAGGAGAATATTACCACATATACAACGGCGGTGAAGGGGAACGTCCCCACGAGATCGAATCTGTTTTGCTGAAAAAGTTCAGAGAGACTCTCACGAGGGGAGCCTTGATGTGGTAGTTGTTGTTACCCAAGCATTCCATAGATTCCTTTGGGATGCTCGCGTATTCTTTCGTTAAGGCTCATGCTGGGGACAGAAAGGTGCAGGCCCGGAGGCTAACATATCCATAATTGCACAAGGAGAGTCTGAGTTGCTGCGGGAATTCGTAACCCGGTTCCAGAAGGAAAGGATGTTGCTCCCGGTTGTTCCGGATGAACGGGTGGCTGAAGCATTCACTAAGGGTTTTGAACCCGAGAAGTTTCAATGCCTCCCGGAAGTTGAAGGAAAGCTTGCTCGAATTCCAAGCGATGACTTGGGCGGACGTTCACAACCGGTACGAGTCAAAGATGAAGATTGAGAATGATCAGCTCGGCTTCCCGGCGTTGGCTAAAGGTCAGAAGAAGAATAAAGAAAAATCAAAAGACGATTTCGACACAGACAGGCGATCTTCGAGGGGCCGATTTTTTCCATACAAATGGGCCGAAGGACGCGGCAGAGGTTTCCGGTCGGCAGACAGTTCGTTACTGACAGAAGAACTGATCGCGGCCAAAACAACAGATCGCTACAGGACAAGGAAGCATCAGGTTCTCGAGATCCTTCCTATCCCAAACTTTCAGAATACAAGTGTAGTAGAGTTGGTATCGGCTATGAGAAACATTAAAGAAGCACGGTTCCCGAAGTCGATGAGGTCCGATCCCAGCCAGAGGGATCCTAATTTGTGGTGCGAATACCACGAGACGGACAGCCACCGAACTAGGAACTGCTGACATCTGCGTGGAGAGGTGTTGACACTATTGAAAAATGGCCATCTCAGGGAATTCTTAAGTGACTGGGCCAGAAACAATTACGGTCGCAACCGTGATAACACGCAGCCCTCAAAAATAGGAGCAGACGCCCCGCACCAAACAATCAACATGATTTTCAGGGGGAACGAGATTAACGGGGTTACTTTCTCGGCAGCAAAAAAGACGAAGGTACAGTAACCCACGACAAGAGGCTCCGGGAAGTCATTGAGGACGACATCACTTTCTCGGAGGAAGATGCAGACGGATTATTGCTACCACACAACGACGCATTGGTAATTTCTTTAAATGTATTAGATTTTAAAATCAAATGTGTTCTGGTAGATCCAGGAAGTTCGGCGAATATCATACAATGGAGGGTATTGGAGCCAACCAAACTTACCGGAAGCATCATTCCGGCCATAAAACTCCTCGTCGGGTTTAACCTCGCAAGCGTGACAACCCGAGGAGAGATCCTGCTGCCCACAAATGCCGAGGGGGTGATGAAGACGACCATTTTCGAGGTTGTGGATGGTGATATGGGTTATAACATTATTATGGGAAGACCGTGGTTGCACGAGATAAAAGCCGTACCATCAACGTATCATCAGTTGCTAATATTCTCAACTCCCGAGGGGATTAAACAGATAAAAGGCGACCAACAGGCGACAAAGGAGATGAATGCAATTTCGGTCTCCAATAGCAAAGGGAAGGAGCATGAGGCATAGCAGTTACAAGAACCGGCGCCTGCTCTCGAGTCAAGTGAAGCTAACCAGGGGGAAGAAGCGTTGGAATCTTATCAGGTGCCAAGATATGTCGCGCCCCCTATTTTTCCTCCTCGCGGAGAAAGTCCGGGCTTCGACACTCATGGGGAATCGACTCGTTTCCTTTTGGGATTTGGGTATTTGAAGAGTCGCCACCTAACGGATTATGGTGCGTTAGGGAACCTAGAGCGGTTAACTCATAAACCAGTTTGCATTACCAGAGATTAAGGTAAGGGCTCGAAATAACCTCGAGGGGAAGGTGTTAGGCACCCCTTGTAGTCCACAACGGTGGGTCCCGGCCGAACTTAAACTATGTGAATTAGTCCTTTTACAAACAATTTCAACACATATTCTCAAATAAAAGCATGTTTTCACATTCTAAACACATGTATGATTCAGTTAATGGAAGCAAGGGAGAGGTTTGAACAATTTGCACACATATATACGTAAAGAAAAAGAAGTTCATTTAAAACACATAGGAATTGGGAAAGAGGAGTCCTAGGTTGATTAGCCTACAGGATCATACCCACACAATGCCCGGTAATCACTCCTCAATGAGGGGATACACGTGACATTAGCGCGTAGTCATCATATCCTTACTACCTGATTCCCTCCCCTTGGTCATAGACTAAAGCGTTCTAGCAACCTTGAAAGATATCCTATGCGTGCATTACCCGTCCCTTCCTTGTGGCCCTAGAGGTATTTAGGACCTCTAATTTAGGTAGTTCTAGACCATCCTAAGGTACTTAAAGGAGAAAAATCTAGGCGTCAACCAAAAATAATTAGGACTGCATTAAAGAGGGAACAATTAAAGGCTCACATTTTACCTCCACAAACAGAACAAGTAAGTGCACGTCTCAAACAACAGCTTTCAGATATTTAAGAGGAACTCTAGAACAGGACATCTAGATGAGAAGAAAATATGCAGTATGAAGTTAAGACCGAAGTGTCAAAGACCTATTCAGTTTGCCTACTTATTTTAGACCTGTTGAATATGAGCAGTCACAAATGACAAGGCGTAGTTTTACAATTGCAGAATTTTAGTCGCCATACGGGCTTGCCTAGGCGTATAATAGTGATGTCCTATGAGCATGGTATCTAATCATTGCTCAGGAATGCGGTAAAACAGTAAACAATTTTAAACGGGCAATTTGGATCCTATAGGCATGCTTTCTAGTTAATTAACACATCGTTGAAGAGATGAGTAGGTCAGTTAATTAAACTGATTCAGAACCTACAGGTGTGAATTAAACTGATTTTAAGTCTAACTAAACTGGTTTTAGATCCTATAGGCGTGATTTCTAACTAAACACAAGGTGAAGCAAGCAGAATTTAGTTGACCAAAGCGAAATCCCTATAGGCATAATTTCTATTAAAGCTGATTTTAAATCCTATAGGCATGATTTCTAAGGAGATGCAATTTGAATACATGCTGTAATGGGAACTGAACCTCAGTTACTTTACACCCTATAGGCATGATATCTAAGTGAACATCGAAGCAAATTTACAGGCATGATATTAGGATGTAGGATTGATTTTTGAATCCTATTGGCATGATGTTTAAGTGAACAAACATTGTAATAACTTATAAGCATGATATATAGACAACATATTGTAACGTCCTACAGGCATGGTTTCTAAGAATGTAAGCATTCTTTTAAAATCCTATAGGCAGGATATCTACCCATTCCCCAACAAAATGTGTATAATAATCCCTCCCAGTTTACTAATTTCCCCAATATCTGTTTACAAAGATTATTACAGACCAAGAACTGAATAAATTACATAAATACAAATATACATTAATCTATAGGGAGCCTGAAGTAAGCCCAAAGTAGTTTTCAAGCCTTCAGTAGTCTCAAGTGCCCAACGTTCCATAGCCCAATTCATGTCTAGGTGCGTCAGAGTTCCCTAAGGACCTTAAAGATCCCGGGCAGTGCTTACACTCAGACCTTTCTCAAATAAGAACTGATTTATGTGCAGTGTATAAGTTCCAGCCCTGATATGCCAGAGTTCAGAGAGATCTCAAGGGTCTTAAAGTAGTACTTATACCAGAGGGGCAGGACTTAATGAACTAAGAGTAAGTGAGAGTGCATAATGACTTGAAAGAGTTTGGTAAACAGTAGCAAAGGGGCCTTAGGAGTAAAAGATTTTCTGAAATCAGTACTAGTTAGGGTGGAAAACAGTTTGAGGAAACATGAAGAACATTTTTGAGGTCAGAGATCAGGTTACAGAACACACAGTTTCAAAAACATTTTGGGCAAGCAGACTCTTCATAGAGGGAGATAGGGATTGGGGGACACATAGAATACAGCCTAGTGTATAAGCAAACAGATATACTAATGAGGTTGTGGAATTGACAAGTTAGTTACAAAGATTACAATAAAGACATGTTGATAACACATAAGTCTTAGGCACACAATCAGAATACTTGGTAGGTCTAGATACCTTAACAGGATCTTGTTAGTCAAACTACAATAGGTAATACTTAAATGAACAAACTATGCAGGCACTACATGAAGCATTCAAGGTTTAGAAATACTAACCACATACAGAGCAAACAGGATGTAGACATGCTGGGTGAGACAGTAAGCAAACAATGTGGCTTGGACATACAAGTGAACAAATAGGATTCATGCAATTATTTAAAGCAGGATTGGGCATGCTAAACAGTATACTAGTTATAGCTTTTAACAGAACAAACTTAAACATGTTGAGTGATACAGCAATTAGGCAGTGTAATCTAAGCATGTTGGTTACACATTGAGCATATGACAGTAGAATAGCAAATAGAACTGGAAATCACAACTAATGAACTGCAGCAACAAAGAAACACATAGTTTTGGAATGTGAATTGAATCAGGACATTCCAGTCAAGGAGAGAACACAGAGTATAGAGCAGAGGTGGTGCAAATAGCCAGCCTTGGCTTACAGCCGGCTGGATTAGTGAGAATTGCAAGTAACAGAAGAGAATAGAGAGCTTTTGTGAGTGTGAGAGTGTGGAGGAATTAGTGTTCGTGTTTAAGAAGTTAAAATAAGAGAGTTTATATAGTAGCTCGAGAGTAGAGTAAATAAGGTAAAAGAATCAACTTTAGTCAATTAAGATAGTCATAGAATCCATTCACATAAGGGTTCAGAATAAACCTCCCTTAATTGAAGGCGATCAGCTAAACGGTAATAATAAGGAGTCTAATTAAGGAAAGAAGTTCAAATCAAACCAAATAAAGGAGTTCAGAATAAAATAATCAGGGGTCTAATTAAGGGAAGAATCATGTAAAGGAATCAATAAATATACAGGTAATCAAATGAGGCAAGAATGACTAATTAAGGCCGTAAACAGGGAATCAGGCAAGACTTAGGCATACAAATCTCTAACAGAGCAAATCAATCAGCCAAATTTTAAAGTAACAATGATTCTGGAAAGAATATACCAACTCCCATAAATAGAAAATAAAACTAGTAAAGACTTACACAAAAAACTATAGAAATTAAGCCGGAAAAGCAAGATTCGAAACCCTAATAGGGACTCAATTAGGGTAAAAACTTATAGAATACTAGAATT